CTGCGCCCGGAACACCTTTCAGAACTAGACCTAGCTAACTAGCATAACGACCAACCACCGAGTCCTAATGGGGACTCTAAGACTCGAACTCTCAACCTCTGGGTAAAGAGTAAAGTCGGTACCACCACTAGACTACCCTACTTGGTCTACAATTCTTTGATTAGTTGCAGTCTAGGTGTTCTCATTCTGATTCTCCATTCAATGGGTAAAACTAGGGGTATCCATGGGCCGGGTTACCAACGGGTCTCGTTATCCGGCCCGAAAAAAGTAGGTCTGAAGCCCGATAGTTGGCCCGCGCCGAGCCTGAGTCCGAGTTCAATATCCTTAAAAAGAGGAATTTGGGTTTGCCCCCAAACCCATTACCCAGCCCAAGAGCCCGCCCTCAAGCCCAACCACCTACCTTTCATTTGAAAAAAAATTATATTTTTATACCATTAAATTAAAACTTTTGAAATAAGTCTCTCAATATCAAAATTTGAAGTTTTAAAATTTTAGATATTATAAATAATATATTATTTTCTTTTCCATGTATTAAGCATATAATGTTTAAATGGTAGAGTAATGCAAATGATAGATAAGTTAGTAGGTGTCAACCTAATTGAAATTTATTCATTCTATTGGATGTTGTTTATTATTTTATTTTTATCCATTTTGACTTTACTTTTAATTCAAAAATATAATTTACAAAAATATTAAGTTATAAAAATATTCATTATTTTTAAATAAAGATGTTTATAAAAAAGCCCGCAAGCAGGCCCGCCCAATAGGCTCACGGGGTTGGGCTGCGAGTAGCCTACTCCTACCCGAGCCCGGCCCGAAAAAAAATTTTGCGGCCCTAGCTTGGCCCGACACCCTAGGTAAAACACAATAATAGTTATTAAATATGACTTCTGTATCAATTTAGTTTCTAATCTTTTAATTATGTTAATTTGATCTCTACAGTATTTAATTTATATCATTTTGATCCAATAAAAAATTATAGTTTAAATTGATTAATAAAGATGTTCACGTAACTATAGTTAACAGTCCATTTCAGGACCTCTAGTTTTCAATGTGTGTTATTTTCTGTCCTTCATGTTTATAATTTGTATCCCTAAAATATTTTATGTTTCCAAAAATACCCCTCAAGTCTGGTCATTTGAGATGCAAATGACCATTTCCATTAGTCAATTTAAATTTCTATTTTCGATTGGACCAATGTGCTACAAATTAAATACTTGAGGAACTAAACTGACACAATTAAAAAATAGGGGACCAAAGAGACAGCAAAGGGCATCCAAAATATATTTTGCCCCCATTCATAATTCTTAATTCAATTTCGGCTCAGGGATCACTTGGAGGAATAAAACTATGATTCCCAAATTTGTTTACCAAATATTGTATCTCAAATGATGTATTAAAGTCCTATGCATTAAATGTTTGAAAGAAGTTAGTGAATCCCAATAATTCAACAATTCAAATTTGGGATATAAAATTTGATAAATCCTAATTCAGTAAACATAGCATTGCTCCACTTGCATATGTCCAACCCTCATTCCACCACAGACACTAACACACACTTCCCTCTCTTCAAGAAAAAGCCATAAGGGTGTGGATTTATGGGTATTATTGGACTCTTAGGCAATGTGTTTATGCAATAATACATGTGTTTTCTTTACCCATTATACTCAACATTCATTTTCTTGTAAAATTTACCCTACAAGAGTCTCCTACCATATCTAATTGAAATGTATGTGCCTTCTTGATTCAATTGTAGCCGCGGTGGCATGGGAAGCAGGGAAGCCACTGGTAATCGAAGAAGTGGAGGTGGCACCACCACACAAGGTGGAAGTTCGTTTGAAGATCCTCTTCACCTCCCTTTGCCAGACTGAAGTTATCTTCTGGGAGGCCAGGGTGGGTGATTCATTTGTCATTTCCAGAATTCGAATTTTCGTTTATTATTAAATACTTATCTTATGCTCGTAGTATAAATGCATTGTTATTCGTTGGTAATAGTAATATAGTGTCGTACATTAAAAAAAAAAGCTGCTTGTATGGTACAATGTGTGAAAGACAATCACTTCACTTCGTATGTGACCCTGCTGGCAAACTGTGACAATTTTCTAAAGCATTAGCAAATAATGTTCTTTTGCAGGGACAAACACCATTGTTTCCTCGCATTTTTTGGCCATGAAACTGCAGGGTATGTATAACTCTAATCGTCCAAAGTCCGAACGACAACAAAAATACAGAAAAGCTAAGTAAAAAACTAGTATATTTTCATGTTGAATTCGTGCTAGACCTTTATTTTGCTTATTCTGCACTGGGTTTTCAATTTGTATACTCACAAGAAATATATTAAACATTGTACTTTTTTGATTTTCTGGGGATTAGAATTGTAGAGAGCATAGGTGAGGGTGTGACAGATCTCCAACCAGGGGACCATGTCCTCCCCGTGTTCACCGGGGAATGCAAGGAGTGCCGCCACTGCAAATCAGAGGAGAGCAACATGTGTGAGCTTCTCCGTATAAACACCGATAGGGGCGTAATGCTAAGTGATGGCAAGACAAGGTTCTATAAAAATGGGCAGCCTATATACCATTTTCTTGGCACCTCCAATTTCAGTCAGTACACAGTAGTCCATGTTGGCTGTGTATCCAAAATCAACCCTGCTGCTCCACTTGACAAAGTTTGTGTTCTTCGCTGCCGAGTTTCCACTGGTTTGCAAAAATAAATTACCATGTTTTTGTTTTTATCGATATTTAATTCAGTTTTTGTCTGTGAATCTTAAAATTTCAACAGTGTATTGGTTTTGGGTTGGAGGTCTTGGTGCAACTTTGAATGCCGCCAAACCGAAAAAGAATTCAATTTTGCTGTTTTTGGGTTTTGGGCTGTTGGCCTTGCTGTGAGTAAATCCATGTTTTCATGATCTGTTGCTTCTCATAATGACCGAAAAATGAGGTAATCTTACTGATTTCTATGTCAGGCTGCTGAAGGGGCTCGAATTTCTGGGGCTTCAAGGATCATTGGTGTTGATTTGAGTCCACATAGATTCAATGGATGTGAGTAGCTTAGTTTGTTCAAATACCATGTAGTTAAGGGAGGGGATTTGAGTTGTCAGTTCTTTGATCATGATCAATCTGCTTGTTTGTCAGCCAAGAAATTTGGTGTTAATGAGTTTATGAACCCCAAAGATTATGACAAGCCTGTACAAGAGGTTGGTTTCTCTAACTTTGTTGAGTTTGTAAATAGTACGACAACGTTGTATTTTATATGATCAAGCCAGCAAGATCACTTTGTAATTGGTTAAACATAGGATGAGAGATAAGAATTTTGATTGTCAGGTGATTGCTGAGATGACTGATGGAGGAGCGGACCGGAGTCTCGAAAGCACTGGAAACATTGATGCCAGGATCTCAGCATTTGAATGTGTTCATGATGTAAGTGCCTTCCGGTTCTCTTAGTAGTGTATATGACAATGAAACAATTTGAAGTTCTTGATGCAACTTTGCAGGGTTGGGGTGTTGCTGTGCTCGTTGGCGTTGCAAGAAGCAAAGATGATGCATTCAAAACTCATCCCATGGACTTTTTGAATGAGAGGACTCTGAAGGGCACCTTCTTCGGCAACTACAAGACCCGAACCGACCTTCCATCGGTTGTAGAAAAGTATATGAACAAGGTAAAGCCCTTGGTCTCTCTCTTCAAATACAGAGTTGTGTTAGAAACCAGAAAAAATGTGCATACCATAGCCCCTCTGAATCATGGTTCAAGGTTGTGGAACTCATCATCGACCTGAAAAGAGCCACATTTGGTGGCGCCATCATGAGACAGTATCGAGAGACATGCATGAAAAATCAGATAGAAGAGGTTTAATATTCAGGCCACATTGTTGAACTACATCGACTGATTTCGATTATGACAAATCAGAAGATTTGGGGATGGAGATGTCTCAGACAAGTCACATCAGACACGTGGATTGGAAGGTGCGAGTCAGATGACGCGATCTGACTTATCTGCCAATATTTTGAACCATCCTCTCTAAAAATTAAGCATATTAGATTGCCCTGGTACAAAATAGTTCAATATATTGGTGCCTTAACATTGCAGGAGCTGGAACTGGAGAAATTCATCACCCACCATGTTTCTTTACCAGAGATCAACAAGGCATTCGAGTACATGCTTCGTAGGGAAGGTCTCCGCTGCATCATCCATATGGAAAAATTAGAAAATTTCTGAGTAGAGGTTATATTTTGAGGTCGTCGGTTATCGAGTTATTGTAAGATAAATAAGTTTCAAGAAGGTTGTCCATAGAGAACGATTTCAAGGTTATGGTGTGATGTAATGTGATTTAGGTAATAGGACAATGTTGCGTGGTTTATGTTTCCTGGTTTATCTTCCTTGGGTTTTTTCATACGATTATTAATTTACAATGGAGAACATACAAATCCAAATTATGATAATGTTGGGGCTATGAATGATGTTTGAACATTATGTTTGTGTTAGTTTGTTCAATCATAAAAGGTTAGAATAAGGGCTTGTTGTATATATAGTTGAAAAATAGGGTTTATAAATTCCAACGATAGTTCAAGTGATAACAGGAATGAATTGTAAACTCAGACGTCTTGAGTCAAATCTTGGCAATTTTTTAGAATCAGGTCATGAAAAATTTATCCCTTAGTCAAGACATAAATGAACAATCTTAGATCGGACCAAAGAAGGGATTAGTTGAGTTGCGCGTAATTAGTCAAGATGCACATAAGTTGACCAGAACATTTCTAATCATTAAACAAAAAAAAAAAAAAAAAGGCTTATATGATGAGTTAGGGTCTTGGTTGGGTGGATTTGTGTCAAAAGTGTTTGGTTTTTTTCCCGGGTTGTCTGAGTTATGGTGGTGCTGGTTGTGGAAGGTGCAGAAAGAGTGAAGGTTACCTAGAAAGTGAGAAAATAGTTAATACAACATTGATACTACATCAGCATTTATCACCTCTGAAGAGTTAACTCATTACCTAAACTCTTTTTCTCTCTCACTCCATGGATGCGGGTGGGAGGAGAGGGCCTGCAGTCGCCGAAGGGGAACGAGAAGAAAGAATTAGCTGGATGCAAGTGCTTCCATTCCAATGTGGATGAATTTCATTCTAATGTGGAATAAGTTTAGAAACAAGACCATTTTGCTTCAGTGAGTAACAAGGGGGAAATGTTGACAAGGTTGCTGTGTTGTTGTGCAGTTTAAACATCCTTTTTACTTGATTTCCAGGAATGATAAGATCACCGCACAGAAGCAAGAGAAGATTTCTATATTATGAACAGTTAAAAAAAAGCAATCTGCTGATATCATCACGCATCAAATTAAACTCGATGAAGTATATCCATTGTCACGCATCAACCAAACATGAGAGTTAATGAAAGCTAATAAAAAATTTATACAATACAAATAAAAAATGATATATATAACTGGGATTCTGACAGTTTTATATAACCGCATTAATGAATGTATGTGATTCATTGCTTGTTTTGAATAGATCGTTAATAAGAGTCAAATTAAGCACATTTATACCTTCTTATATAAACGATGAGATATGGCATCAATCAATAAGAAAACTTACTTACAAATTCCATAGTCACTGAAGGATAACCCTGTGCTGAGAAAGCAGATATGAGAAAAGTATTTCATTCCACATATCAGGTACTCCAGGCAAGCACCAATGACTACAATCAGGCACTGATGCAGTGTCACTCCAAGGACCCACATGTGCATCACTCCGGAATGCGCCCATGGGTGTCACGTGCAGCAATGCCACGGGAAGTGATAAATTCTTCACAACATTCATGACGATATCTGAAAATGGGCTTCGTTCCCTACCTTTAGTTCTCGACAAGGGCCGCCGAGTTACTTTGCAATTCTGACGGGTTCGACTGCTGTTACCAAAGGCACAGATATAAAACATCAATAGACTCGACTATCACATTGACAGATTAAATGAAAGAAAACTACATGAGGAAGAGGCTCATGGAGGTGGCTATTAACAGAATTCAAGGGAAAGAAGAGACAGAAAAAGTGTAATGGTGGGCAAGCCATGCATTAAAAAGCCAAAATACATTTGTTTACAATAAATGCTAGTGCCATACTCAATTTGACTACAGTTCCATAACTTTCAAGAAAATCCCAACAAGTTTGGCAGCAAATTGATCTATTAAATATTAACAGATGAAGTCATGAAACACACCTCCAATGAGTAGACTCAAAAGTCCGGAAGAATATACGTGTTCTATTCGTGTTGATTGTACTCTCAACCCAAGATGCCCAAGTATTTAATGCAAATCTGAAGGCACCAGTTATTGACATTCCAAGCTTCATTCTTCCACCAACCTGGAAATAGCAGCCCCTGTCTGAAAAGGCATATTAGATGGATTCTACAGACACATTTGTAAAAAGCACTTTTTTTAGCTGAAAAATCTAAAGATGATGGCTTAAACTGTGACCGACAATGCATGCTGCTCGTAAACTGGATTGTATATGTGTCATGTTTGGTTGGGCAGGCAGTCACATAAAGCAGCAGAAAATGTAAATCAAAGACATCTCTCAAATAGGATCAACAGATATAGTTAAGTAGAGGGATGTGAGAGAGAGGTGGACTCACTTAGAAGATATATGAACAACAGTTTGGCTGTACATATAGCTTAATGAAAGAAATTTACATCCACAAAATAGCAGCACCAAATGATCCATGCCAATTAAAGGAAGTATATAGTTGGAGCTAGTAATATCTCTGATGCAAACAAAGTTAATGAAGCTTAAAACAGATGGGAGGCATATAACAGTTCCATTCCATAATTCAATTAACAGACTAGATAGTGAAACATTACAGGAATGAGATGATATCTTCTCTATCAGATAAAGCTCATTCAAATGCTCCATTAATAAAACAGAATGCAATGCTTTGAAGATGTTTACGAAAACCTAATCTCCAGGGCCTATAATTTTAACAGAAAACGCAGATCAAGGCACCAAATTATACAGAATCGAATAGAACAACAGCTCTGAAAAACAAGAAAATGACTGTAGTTCTAAATAGAGTTGGAGTGCAGAGCAAATAATTAGAACTGATATTCAGCTTTAAATCCCCAAGAGTTGTTCTGAGAACTCCCCACATAACCTACAGAAGGGAATGCAAAATATCATGAATACTTACATGTCGAAGAGCTTTGCTGGTGTCCACCAATGCCCTGAATTAAAGATAAGAATGTCAGAATCAATCCAGTCTGTACTGATATCATCCAACTTATCAAGTTTAAGTGTTGACTTAACCCTCTTGGGCGAACGTTTTGGCACAGAGCCAGGCTGCACCAGAAAAACAGAACGATAGAACTCAACCGTAAAATTGAAGGAGCTAAACCGAACACCTAGATACCTAATCTGTTTAGTGATCTTATTCCCATTGACTTCATACACACTCTTCTTATCCTCTACACCAGTCATGAGCAAGCATATCATAGACTCCCACTGAGTTCTACTCAATGAATCGCCAACAAAAACAACCCGTCTCCCACGAAGCATATCCAAAACTGCAAGCACATCAAACCTTGGAATTTCACAACTCTTAGGCTTCCACCTCCATTTAAGGTACCCTTTATCTTTTCGCCTGTTAGCCAAACAATTAAAACCCAGTTCCGCAAAAGGACATTCTGATGCATTGTACAAAGGGTAACTTTCATCAGGTACCCACCTTCCATCAAACACATTGCATCCATGACCCAGATCAGTAGACATATTACCCAGATCAGTAGACATATTAGTCCCAGAACTATGAACAACTGGTTGAAAAGCTGGGAACATGAATAAATAACCAGAACACATAGCTACAAGAAAAAACAAAAAAGAGCCAATCACAACAAGTACATTGAATGATTGAAACAACCAGCTCTTACAATGCCCTCCAGACAATGAGTTGCCAAAACTCAATACCCTTATAATAGAAGGCCTGAAATAGCCCAATGAACTCCAATATAATCTGCTCACCATCTCGTATAACTAAATGTTCTTCAAACTTACAGAAACAAAATTCAATTGTCATAACAAATGAACCATGAAAATGAAGTTAGCCCAGTACCATCCGTCCATATTGTAACACAAATGCATCAACCCAACTTAGATATGTCGCAGTAACATGTGAAATCAAATATCAGAACCTAAAAACAGCATTCAGAGTAACCGAGAACACCAAATACCCTTCAATTAACAGCACAAGAGCTTGAGTGAACTGAGAATATAGAAAATTTTACAGTTCTTTCAACTGGGTCTGATTCTAGATCAAGAGGTGGCAATTGCAGTTGAAGAGTTGGATCAACAGTGGAAAATATGGTTAAAAGGAAAGGGTATTTTGGCTCTTATACATCAGTTGGTGAAACACGCGGTTGGTCTGGCTGTGATCTCTGATCTATTTCTGATCCAGCTGTTCGGTGATTAAAAAAATAAAAAAAGCATTGTCGGTGGTAATTATTTTGAACACAACCTTTGATCCTTGCTTAAGTTAGGTATACTAAGATTTGGAAAACATTATTCCATCCCAACTACCTTCTAATCATTTATTTTGGATTTATATTGTCGTGTCAGGAAGCCATATAAACCAAGCATATATCAATGGAATTTTTGTTTAATGGTAGACTTCCACGAGATCAAAGGTTCAATTTTTTTTTCTCTCTCTCTCCCTCCAAAAAAATAAAAAAAATAATATATATATATATATATAAACCAAGTATAGTCACTCACAATTAAGATAGAAATGTGTAAACAGAGTGACGAAATTAAAATTTTATAGTAAAAAGTATTATTGTATGGACTTAAAAAGTAAATTTAATAATTATAACAATTGATTTTATTATGATTTTTAACATTTATTGAGACTCATTATCTATTCAATGATTATGATTATCAAATCTATTTTTTAAGTTCACGTAGAATTAGAACGAAAAAAAAGAAAAAAAAATTGATCCAGTCAAAATTCGATAGAATCATTGGACATGTGATTGCTATTGTCCAATTTTAGTTATATTGGGCCTCTAGAATTAACTTTCCTAGTATGCCATGTGTTCAATTAATACATGTCATGTATGTAACACGAAATAACCTTTTTTTTTCTGTTTTTTCCTTTCGGTCACGAGGCTAATTTAAATGTATGTGAGCTCGAAGTAACATTTCTTTTCTTTTTTAACTTTCGGTCATGAGACTTATTTAAATGTGTGTGAAGGTCTATAAAAAAATATTAATTCAACCGATTATTATCTCTTATTTTGTTATTGAATGTCAAATTATTAGGTTTTTTGAGATACAAATAGATTATCCTTATATACAAATATATAAATTGTTGAAAACCCAAGGAAAGACATAGATTTTTAAAAGATGTAAGAGGAATACAGTGTATTTTTGAAAAGTAGAGTATTAACGTGGTTCGTCAACGCGTGCAAAGATGTTAATCCTTCGATTCGAATTCTAATACTGAGATCACAATAATATAATCTTATTTTTACCCAGAGGTATGTCCTCGAATGTTAGAATGCTTATAATAAATTCAAATAAGATTCATTACAAATGATTTCTTTCCCAAAATTGAAAAAGAATAGCTTGAGAGTGGTTCTTAATTAATGATGACTCTTTGAAGTTTTTTTCACATATTCAGGTGAAAAGACCTGTCGAAAGAGCATGCTTAGCAATTACACTTTGGTGTTCTACAAACCCTACTCTTTCCATGGTTAGGTGCACACCAAGACTATCTTGCTTAGGATTGTATTTAAAGGCATCATTAGACATAGAAATGGGACCATGAGTTAGATGCCAAAAGAGTTTGAGATTAAAATGTTCTAGGATAAAAATAATAATAATATTAATATTACCTCATTTTGAAGAGGTTATTCCCCATGCTTGAATCCAACTAGATGGTTGCTCCCATAAATGCACACAATTACCAATGGCTTGACCTAGTAGTGAAAGTGAAGCCACTCAATAGGGTGCACACACATTTGAATCTCATGACACTCATTCACTACAAGATGTGGCTAAAGGGCAAGTTTTATGACTAGTCTAGTTCATGAGATTCCCACGAGGCCACGACTGTGAGATTTAAGCCTAAATTGAGTGGATGTAGCCTAAATCATACATGTGGAAAGGCTGTTATGTTAACATAACCATCAATCAAATTAAATAAATGCAAACCCGAAGACTATTATTGATCACTATTTACAAACAATCAAATTAAATAAATGCAAACCTGAAGACTATTATTAATCACTATTTGCAAACAATTTCATCTTTGACGCTCGACTGCTTATGCAATGAATAGAGCAAGTTCAATTTCAACCAGGGCATTCAAAAACAACATAAAAGTGAGCAAAAAATTGTCCAATTCCTAGCATCAGATAAGCAGGTGAATCAGATCAAGTAACAGGCCAGCACAGGATTGCCTCTAATTTTTCATGGTGCCCAGCAAAAAGAGAAGATCTTTGAAACCTCCTGCCATAAAGAAGATATGTAGTAAGAGCTCCCTCTCGCCCTGCTTCCAGCACCTTGCTATTCTTTCAGGGAAAAAAAATAGACAAAGATTAGGCAATGATGCTGGCATTCCTTATTAATAGTACATGAAAATTCAGATATTCAAGAGGAAAAAAAAAAGGAGAGTGCCAATACGCTGGAAAATGGCTAGCAGCTAGGTTATTTGTAGAAATTTTTGCTCCACCGTCAAATTAGGAAGCAAAGAGGAGAGTGCCAATAGGCTAGACTATTGGAAAAGATTAAGCTAGCAGCTAGCTTTTGTATAAATTTGTGTTCCATCACCAAATTAGAATGCTAAGAAAGCTGGCCCTCATCTATCAAGTTGGCTGGGTTCTCACCGTTCAAATTGGCAGCTAATTCCTACAAGTGAATTTCACTCGCCCCTTTGAAGAGTTTAGAAGGGTCCATCATGAAGAGTTACTCGTACTCACCTAATAATTTCACCTCCAAAACTCTAAATAGATAGAATTATTCCCCCTGGTACCAATTTCTGTGGCTTTACGGGTTGAGGAGTATAATTTATCTGAGTTCCCTGCAAACACACTGTAGAGAAGTTGTTGCATATTTATTTACTCATTTCGTGGTTCAGGTAAATGGGTGGAAGTAGGGATGCGCATGAAGAGCCTGCTGAAATTTTGGTGAAATAGATACCTTCTTCAAAGCTGACGAAAGCATCTGCACCGGCTTTGAAATCATATAACTGAAGATTCCTGTTATACGTATAATTCAATAAAATGGCTCAAAAATGGCCAAGGGGACAGAGGAATCTAAAAAGAAACATTAGAGATACCACTTTCTGCTATCACAATTATTCCTTTGCCGCAGATGTTCAAAAACAATGAAGATCAGGATTCAGGAAAAAAAAAATCATTGACATAATCACCATTTGTGCATTCTGCTTCTCTATAGCTTGATTGCATGACTGGGCCATACAATGCAGGATCACCATGAAAAAGTCTAAGGAGACGATCCAAATACCAATCAAGAAAGAAGCCTACAACAAAAGACTAAGAAATATAGAAGCAAGCAACCCAAAAGGACAAAATCCGTGTGAATTATCTAAATATACATGCAAGCAAAAAAAATTTGGTTCAAATTTACCCACATTCAGTTGATATCACATGAGAAGCTTGTACGGGCTGCATCAAGCATGACAGAAAAATAAATCAACCGTGTCAACTGCCCCATATAACTGGAAACTTAAGCGGCATACAAAACCAACAAATGGTTAAACCTGGTGGGCCTAGTCAGTGATAGATCTAAGAATAAGGCTTCAAAATAAAAAAAAAGTTGGGAGGGGCAAAACTCGCTATATTTAAGGTTACTTAGCAAATATTAGCAAATACAATGTCATAACAAGTTATGTCATGGCATGAAATCTCACTTCTCTTGCAGCTAGGTGTTTCTTTTCTTTTCTTTTTTCACTCTCTTGCAATAAAGCTTAGTCTCAAGTGGCTAGTAAGATAGTTTTGAGTTAAATTACCTTGTATTGAGAGACCCTTTATGCACTGTAAGTGGTCCTCTAGTTAGTGAGTGAGTCCCCAAGCAGACCTTCAAGGCTTAAGTGGTCTAGCAATTGAACTTACAGTCATTTCAAACTAGTCAAAATTATCCTCCATGTTAAGCCAATAAAAACTTCCGGGAGAGGAAAGCCAGGGTGCCTTGCTGCCCGAATGCCCCTCCATGGGGTAGAAACTTAGATAAGTTCTTTTATGTAATTCTTAAAGTTACAAATACAAAATTAAAAATTTTTCTGCTACTGATTCACTTTTAAAGCCAAGCCTTGAAAGATGCATGTCAGTTGGGTCTTTGAACATGCACTGACGTTTTTCAAGCAGGGTACGTGGATTGGCCAGAGCCTTCCCCAGCTAATGACACCTCGATCCCGAAGTCTTTGGAGTATCTTTTTGATAGGCATCTCTATTTATATGGGGGAATCCACATGGTTAGATCTTGCCCCAGGTCTTCCAATCTAGGGGGGATTCGTAATTAATCATTTGTCAGATCCAGGGTAAATATGAAGTACGCAAATCACAATCAATGCCCTACGACACCATGGCTGAAGAAGAGGGAGGGAGAGTCAAAAGGGAGAGCTTATAAATCTCATACATCGCACAGTTGAGTCTTAATAAAAATGGTGTATCTATCTCTTGTCTATATATCATTGGTTCTATGTGTGAATCAAGTCATTCATCTTTGGGATGTCCTTTAATATCACGTGTTTCAGTCACCCAAAAAAAAAGACTATCGTACTGCAAGTTAAACAATGTATTCAGCATAGCATAAAGCAACTTACCATGAGGCCACTTGGACAGTTCTTCCCAATCGTTATTAGTGCCTTTTTGCCAGATTATTATCTTTCTTCTTCTGTTGATGACCCCTGATGAAGACTTGATAATTCCAATGATGAAAAGAATAAGCTTTTGCACTTTGGTTACCTTGTTTACTCTTCCCAAAATAAATGCACCTTTAATTTGATATTCATGATAGTCGACCAAAAGGGGATCAACACGCAGGGGTAGGTCTTCAACGTGACATCCAAGGACACAGTGCATTTGAAGGACAGAAACTGCAGTAGGTTCAATCACTAAATTTAAGCCATTTGGAAACTTTCGAGCTAGAGAATCCACCCAAAGAAAGGAAGGAAAAAAATTTAGGCGAGCTATGCAGATCTAGACCATAGATAAAAAGCAGTCTGGTCTGCCTCTTACCCTTGCCCTTTTAGCTTAATAACTCCCCAATCCATTTATGGCTTCCATCTACAGATGTATCCTCCTCTGTCATGACATAACTTAGATGACGAGAAAAACCACACTCGCAGTCACCATCTAGTATAAAAGGTTCAATTTCAGCAACATAACCCTCGTCTTTCATGAATGCAGTCAAATCCTTCAAAACCGCATGGATTTCAGCAGCATCAGGATGAAATTTATCCCCTGCGACAAATAAGTTCGCCTTCTGGCCCACCGTAATCCAACTACAACCAGGAGATTTTATCACTCCTTTTTCTTTCATTGCCCTTCTCACAAAGTTAACCCCATCCCAATTGCTTGATGCGGCGTATATATTAGAAAGCAGCACATAAGGAGAAGAATTCTGAGGTTCCAACTCAATGAGCTTTTCTGCTGCACGTTGCCCTCGTATGTCATCCCCATGTATTCTGCAAGCGCCAAGAAATGTGTTCCAAATCATAGCATCAGGCTCAAATTCTAGTTTGTCGATAAAATCCTCTGCTTCCTTGAGAGAACCCCATCGGCCAAGAAGATCGATCATGCAGGCACAGTGATCTACACGTGGCTGAATCAAATAATGATCGACCATAATATCAAATATTTGGCGGCCTTTAGATACTCTCCCTGCATGACTACATGCAGTAAGCACACCAAGGAATGTGACTTCATCAGGCTTTACATGTGTTTGCTTCATCTCATTGAAGATCTTCAATGCATTTTCGGCATAACCATTTTTTGCAAATCCTACTATCATGGAATTCCATGAAATAACGTCTTTCTTGGTGACCATTTCATTGAAAACTTGCACTGAATTTTTAATATCCCCACATTTAGCATACATGTCAACAAGGGCACTCCCTGTCAACTCATCTGAATCAAAACCAGTATGAAAAATGAGAGAATGGATTTCCCTACCATCCTGCAAAGCAGCTAAGATTGCACATGCTCTAAGGACACTAACAAATGTTGCCTGATCTGGCATGGCATTGGATTTATGCATTTCTCTATAAAAAAGTAATGCCTTCTCACTGCAATCAATTTGAGTGTGTCCTGAAATTATAGCAGTCCATAATACTGTGCTCTTTGGATTTGGGAACTCTGAGAAAAGAACACTTGCATCTGTTTTTCTTTGGGTGGTCATATACATGCCCAAGAGAGAGACGGCCAAAAATTCATCATCATATGAAAGTCCGATCTTCTGTATTAAACAGTGAAGCTGCCTCCCAAGTTTCAAGTTAGAAGGTCCACTGCATGCATCCAAAAGGCTGGCAAAGGTGACTTCCGAAGGTTTCAGTCCTTCAGCCAGCATATATCGAAATAGAATTACTGCTTCCTCGATACTTGTTTGAGCATACCCAGCAATTAAAGCATTAATAGAAACCACGCTTCGCTCACGCATGCAAGAGAAGACCTGGCTTGCAGCCCTAATGACCCCACACTTAGCATACATGTCAATAAGAGAGCTTCCAGCATAAAGACTTGTTTCTAGACCATATTTGATCAATAAACAATGTACCTGTTTTCCTTTTTCAAGGGCTTGTATATTTGCACAAGCACTAAGTATACTGGCTAAGGATACTTCATCAGGAGCAACTCCACCTGATCTCATTCTCTGAAACATGTCAAAAGCCTCATCTTCTTCTTCTTCCTGCACAAATCCAACAATAATTGCGTTCCAGGAAACATGATCTCGATTCCTTATTAGCTCAAATTGTTTCCTGGCATCGTTTAGCGCCCCCGATTTGGCATACATATCCACCAATGCATTACCCACAAATAAGTTTGATTCAAATTTGTTCTTGATGATAAACGAATGTATTTGGTGCCCCATATTTATACTTTCCATTCCGGCACAAGCACTCAGAATGCTAGTATAGGTAAATTCATCAGGTTGAAAACCAGAATCCCTCATATTCATGAACAACTCTATTACTTTACAAGTGTACCCATGCTGGGCATAACCTCCAAGCATTGCATTCCACAACACAACATTTTTCTCCTCCAATGCATCAAATATTTTCCTTGCAGTTTCAATGCTTTGACACTTGGAATACATATTAATTAAAGAACTGCCCACGTACACATTAGAATCTAACCCCTGTTTAGTTGACTGAACATGGACCTGCAAGGCATAGTCAATATTTGCTAAACTCGCAATAGCACTCATAACACTTCCTAGAGTGGACCTTGTCGGTTTAACACCAGCTGTATTCATATCTTGGAAAAAGTTGACAGCTTCCACCTCACAACCTCTCTGGGCATGCCCCGAAATTATCACATTCCAAGCTACAGCATTTGGGCTAGGCATATGAGAAAACAAGTGGCACGCATCATCAAGTCTTCCTAGCGCAACAAATGCACTTATGACAGTTACAAATGTTACCTGATCTGGAACATGGCCAACTTTTGGCATCTCCTCAAACACTTTTAGTGCCTCCTCAGGCAAACCAATTTGAACATAACCTTGAATCATTGCTGTCCAAGAAACAGTATCAGGTTCCGCTGCCCCATCAAATATATGACGAGCGTCAACTACATTATGGCATTTTGCATACATGTCAATAAGAGAACCTTGACAAAAGGAATTAGAATCAAGCCCCATCTTGGTAACACTACAGTGCACTTGTTTCCCAAACTCAACATCAAACAATCTAGCAGAAACTGATAGAACAATTGCAAATGTAAACTGATTTGCCTCCACCCCACAATTCTGCATAAAGCCATAGTATTTCACCACATTTTCCAGCATTCCATGCTTCGAATACATCGATAAAACTGAATTCCAAGCCAATGTGCCTATGTTTTCAAGTCGGTCAAAGGCCTTTTCGGCATATTCCACATTGCCACATTTTGCATACAAATCCACAATTGCATTTCCTAGCTTCCCCCCTGATCCAAACCCAAATTTTAAGCTGTGCGAATGAATGATTTTACTAGCTTTCGATGCATATAAAATTCTCTGGGGCATTTCGTCGAACAAACGGCGTGACTGAATTTGTTTGCATTGCTGTAGACATGTGTTCAGGAGATGGGTATAGAAGTGATGCTCTGTAGTTGTTGTGGTTTCAGGGTGCAGATTATGGTGCTCTACTTTTTGTGGGATTGTTGAGAAATTGGGTTCGTGAAGCAACGAGTGTGAGTTTGGTATGCGTTGTGACAATTTCAGATATATTCTGTGACGCATTGAGTCGGAGACGACTCAGACATCACAAGAGTTCGTCGTCGATTAATGTCGAGTACACAAGGAGATAGATACGCTAGAATTGTCCGTTGGCGTGGTTTTGTTAAGAGTCTTGGCGCCAAATAATGTTCTTTGATGTCATAAGGTTGGCTTTTAATTATAAATTAAAAAAAAAAAAACCAAAAAATTATAAATTAAGACCATTAAATATTAATTAACCTATATTGAGGTTTCATAATCTAGGAAGAACTGGAAGTTTGTCTCCTCCGATATCCGTTAATGGATCGAATTTTGTCATATCTAAATTTGAATCTGATTATAATTTACGTGATCTGATTATTCAACAGATCGGATATGAAGCATTATAATATTTTTGTGATATGATTAACTTTTGAATATTTGGTCCGAAAATTTAATCCGATTCGATTTGTTCATGTACAAAGTAAAATTATCTTACAAATATCTCACAAATTATAACACATTCAACTCCGTACAACAAAAATATTATAATACTTACTCATTTAAAGCCTTAACAAGCAACATAAATTAAATATGTCAACGTCAAGTTTAGTTATAAATAATGAAGAAGAAGAAGGCAGAAGGAAAAAAATGTGGGAGATGAACAAATATCGATAGATATAAATTCACAAGATAAAAAATATAAAAATAGAAGGTATATATACAATTCAGATCGGATTTGATAAATTCATAGCCGAATCCATTAAATATAACATAACATATTCGGATAATCGATAAAAATTATTAATTCACATCCGATTAATCAAATTCAAATTCGGATTAGATTCGAATTAAAATCCGATTGATTAACAGAGTTCCATCCATTTACTATCTTAAATTCTCACTTCTGACATGTCTCTTTCTCTTTTGATAAAAAAAACACAAACAGACATAAAATAGTTTATATTATTAGTCTCTTTCTCTTATTATTTCACTATCTTTTCTATATAATATAATTGTGAGAAAAAAAATTGGGATTTAAAAATTTTACCAAACCACTGGTCTACCTTAATTGGCTGCCTCTGACTCTTCTAACTAAGAGATCGGAGGTGTTAAATTAAGGGCGATGAGATTCAATCACAAAATTTCTTATTAACATGTTAAACAATTATCTCTCTAATTTCTTAAATTATGACCAATCATACGTCAAATTTTTGTAGAAACAATCGAAAAACGACCCTGTATAGTTTACGACATTTGAGAGTAATCCTAATATGATACGAGGTGGGTTTTTAGAGTTAAACAATCGAAAAACGATCCTATATAGTTTACGACATTTGAGAATAATCCTAATATAATACGAGGTGGATTTTTAGAGTTTTGGGGCGATCACCCCGCTCTACCCCCGCGATCCATTATTGCTCTGCATCCTTTTGTGTGCCTTTTGGTTTTCACCGGTTCTGCAGCACACCATCTATTCCAAAAGCATTTCATTTGTACATGCTGTCACATATTGAGTCATCCATTTCATTACTAAGAACTGTAGTGTTGTACTGCAATTGCTTTTCCCCTGTTTCAAATTCAAATGTAGTAACTACCTGCTCAACATAATGCTTGAAAAACAACCTTCCACTCGTATAAGTCGACCAAATTTTAGTAAATTCAAAAGAATCGGTGTTCCTTCCCCTATGAAAGCAAAATAAATTTAAGATTACAAGGAATTTCTAGTTCCCACTAGCACTCATCCTTATAGTTCATCACATATCAATTCATACACACGCGCGCATCTGAATACAAAACTAAATCCATGCACTTGATACGGATTTTGATGCATAAGCTTAGAGGGGAAAATTGGGTGGGTTGAGTTAGTTATAGATTGAGTTAAATTGGATTGGGTCAAAATAAATTCAATTTATTTTTCACTCACGTATTAAATAGGTTATGATCAATTGAATTTATAACAGACTGGGTTAAACCATTAACCCATAAAATAATTAAAACTCTTAATATGAACTCATACTAATATATCAAAAAGATATATTAATACACCAAAACATACACATACTAATATACTAAAATACACACACTAATACACCAAAAATACACATACATATACTAACCCACAAAAAACACAAATACATTTAATAAAAAAAACCAAAACACATACACTATTCACCAAAATACACACACATATTGGGTCGGGTCAACCATGGGGCGTAGGTCAATCCATGGGTCATGGGTCACATTAAGGTCAACACGTTGCCATGGCTCATGGGTTCATCCATAGGGTGACCCATGGATCATGGGTCAGGCCAAGTCGTTGGTCATGGTCGGGTGTATCATGTGTGTTGTGTGTGTTTTTTTTTGTGTATTAATAAATTTATTTGATTTATTACTTGTGTTACTTAATATAAAGATAAATATTTCACCCAATGGATACTCATTTATATTTTGTCTTAGCCCGTTTGATTAAAATGAATCATATTACTTACGGGATAATAGATAGTGGGTTAGGATTGTCGCGTAGACAACAAGAGAAATGATTCCTCATTCTATGCGGATATGGAGAGAAAGTGATATAGACAAAATGGGATTTGTATTTGTTTATGGGTAACTCGATCAATTGAGATTTGAACATTCAAGGGAACCAATTTCCTCCCCATATCGACACATCTCTCTGGCTCGTGTGCTACAGTTTTGGTTAGTTTGGACAAAAACCTAACAGTTCCATTTTGATTAAAAACACAAAGGATCATGAGCCTATTTTTAAACATAAGAGAGACCATGTATTCCAAGACTTGAACAGTAATTGAGCCTTTTTTTTTTTGCCCTTTTTCTTATTAAAGCTTAAAGCCATGAATCCAATCAACCATTGCATTTTGATGCAAGGACATTGAAAAAAGTATAGAAACAATGTAAACCACCATTTCTCAATCATCAATGGAAGGATGTGTTGAATTTGGCAATCTCCGGCCTCGCACAAATGAACTGAAAAGATGCAAAGCCCTTGATGGCTGTGCATAGGGTACCATATGAGCAGCACCCCTTACAGTTGCAAAAGTTAACAAGTTTCCATACTCCGTCGCCCATCCTCCCACCTATTTATGGATCATGTGAACAATTTATTTAACTTGAAAAATGTACTCTCACCTCAAAGTAATGGAGAAAATAAAGATCAAACAAGTACCTGTCCTTTGTGAAACCAAGCTCCATATGGGACTGTAACTTTGAACTCTAGATCATGAGCTAGTTCACGGACAAGTGTCCGTGAGCCAAGTAATGGTACAACAGAATCCTGATCCCCACTACAGATTAACCATAATATTACTGATCAATAATGCTTCATAATGGTCAACAAGCTATGGGTTTATGATAGAAATTATCCATTCTTATTGTGTACTTGAAATTTTACCTGAAGATCCAAACAGCCATCTGATTTTGGATTATCCTTTTAAGCAAGGGAAGAATGTCGATGTTGCCATCAGTATCACTGTAGTTCAGAACACTGTCCAACCGAAAATACAGAGAAAAGTCAGTTGTTTCATACATGTAACTTCACAGCTGAACCCAGAATGTATGATTTGGGATACTACTTGATTCAAAGCCTTAAACAAAATGTTAAAATGGAGAACAATTTTTTTGTTTAATCTCAGTTGATCCCAGAAATGACCGCCTTGCCTTTCTGATGACAAAAGATTAAAAGAACCACTGAAAATTTGGAGTGGAATCATTACTGAGAAGAATGACATTGAAGTAAAATTGTGTCATACACTTCAATCAGTTCTTTTAATACTGTCCAATTTTGATAAAACATACGAGGTGAAAGAACAAGAAATCTGAACTCACTATATTTCAAATCCAAGAATTCTTTCTTCACTTTATTTTTATTTTTTATTTTTTTTGCTTCCAATGCTCAAGACTTACCCACTGCACATAGACCAGCTATACGGTAAATTGGTCCTATTTGCATGAAGAGCCTTTTGAACCTCAGGAAGGTTGAAATAGAAACGCCTTTCGTAGCTCATGCACACATCAACCCCAACACTAATCTTCGTAGCCTGCAATTACTATGGATTAGACAAGAAACCTTCACCAAAAAGGTTATAACATAGAGAAGTAAAATGTACCATTTTTCGTAATCGCAGCTCCTGTTCTACAATGGATGGATAGCACACATCAAGTATCACATCGTAGTTGTTTATATATTCACCAACAATGCCATTTGCTTCAGTAATGGCCTGGTTACATCCATCGGATTCGTTGTGCGGATCAGAAAATGTATAATCATCAAAATCACACTTATTCATGATTGCAAGGCCTATTTCATCAGAAATCATTCCATGTGACCAAAAGAATTCGTACGTTGCTGGAACATCACGGTCAAGTCTGAGTAGTGGATTCCCAATCTAACCCAATAAAACAATGCAAAAGATTAATGAAATGGATCAATAACCCCTAGTCCCTAGATACCAAAATTCAAAGAGAGAAAGAGGGACCATTCAATTAGAATTAACAGATTCTCTTACAGCAACTCCCTTTAGGTTGAACTTGAAACCTGTGGCATGCACATTGTGGTCCAGAAGAGCAACAGCTAACTGTGGAACGTAATGCCCTACGTAAAACACATAGACACATCACAAACTTATTTCTGGACAGAAAAAGAGAGGAAAAGTGAAAACAAAGTTACTATGGCATTAAGGCTAACCAAGATTGGCTAAATTTGTGTATAATTATATTTCATCCAGCAAAACAAACCTTGTATTTGTTACACTACATGAAATGTTACACTACCTTGTATATTCCCTTCGGTTATTCACTTACAAATTTTACAACCAGACTTGAGACTTCAGTTACTATTTTGCCTACCTGCATAGCTTTCTCCTGTGAGAAACAGCTCTCTGGATTTGAATTCCGGAAACTTCTCATACCAATTTAACATAAATGTATGCATATCCCTGGCTGCCAAAAACAAGATGCTAAGCATTTTTTTTTAAATCAGGAAGAGATTAAGCATGGATTACATCAAAGTACAGAAAGCATATCTGAAACTATATGTAACACTGATGGATTACCAGTGGAGGCGTCACCACAAGTATAATCTGACGATGTATTCGAATATGACCATCCTACTCCAGCCGGAGACTCAACAAAGAGGAGATTTGATGCTACAAAAAATAAAACCTTGATGAGTAATGAATAGTAATCATATCAACAATGCGTCCATGTAGTTCCTGCTATTCTACACTTTGGCCTAGGCATTCTTGGTTTTCTACTCGTCTGCCGTACCTCTATTCCAAGAATTTGAATTTCTTCTAAGGCCTCGACCATCTCCTCTAGGGAAGAATGGACCCAATTCTGTGAAGGCACCTCCACCCATTGATGAGCAGCCTGGGCCTGAACACAACAAAAAGTAAACATAAATCCTTGCCACTGTTGAGAGCCAAATTTAAAAGGAACCAAAGAAAATTTAAACAGTTCAGCAACTTTGCCCAAGAAAAACAAAATTACTGGTGACATTGCCTTTTGTCAATGTAACAGTTCTGGTTGTTCGAAAAAATTGAAGGCTTTTGCTACTGAATTATTTTCAGGTCACAACGCAATAATACATAGTTTATAAAATCAGTAAAAATGCTTTTTGGGTTCTTGATGATGATCATCAAATGTTTCTGTGTGCTATATGTGGAGATTGTCACCAAAATTCTTTCTCTCTTTCATAAGTAATGTAAAGACTGTCACCAAAATGATTTCTCTGTTTCATAAAACTTAATTATTATTTGAATTGTAAATTAACAGGATCTCTGAATATCTAATGTTGTTTATATGCCGATTGGAAAAGCCAAATACGATGATTCTTCCATTAACATAAGCCATCAATCGAAGGGGAAAAAGAACAATACCAAATTCCTTTGAAAGAACAAAAATAAGAAAAATATTATAAATATATAAAAAAAAAAACAGAAAAAGAAAGGAGGCACTAACAGTCTGTACTAGACTAGTAGTAACCACAATAGCAGCTTAATGTTTCATACTAGGGAGAAACCACTGACTACATCAATTAGTCCACTTAAAAATCAGAACCCACATAGGTAACCAACTCTGTGTGTGTGTGTGTGTGTGTGCGCGTGCGAGAGAGAGAGAGAGAGAGACTCCATTTGTCTACATTTGGCTATTATAACACAAGTTAGACAAGAAAACCAACCTCCATTGAGCCACAGAGAGAGGGGCTTATGATCAGGGTCCTCCTCAGCTTCAACAAAATAGTAAAACAAACTCCTCCCAGCTTTCAAATCAACATCAACATAACCAGCAAACTGCCTAAACCCAACCTTCGGTTGACCAGGCAAATTGACCACCAGATCTTCCTGTGGGTGCCCATTTCCACCACCAAACACCAGCCCCACCACAAGCACCAAACCACAAAACCACCGCATTCCTATTTATCTATGGAAAATTCAGAGAGATTCCTTGGAGATAACCCAAAACTTTATCCCTTCATTCTCTCTCTGAATTTTCCTTATCTGTGTAAAATAAAAGAAACCAACCTATAGCAAGAGAGGGAATGGGGAAGGAATTATATATAATGAATTCTGTTTAAAGATGGCACGTGAATCCTGGGGACCCTTAACAAATGGGTTTGTGTTCAAGGATCTAAATTAAAGATAATTTGCTATTTATAGATACATACAGCTCCTACATAACCATATACAGAATGGTAGAGAGAGAAACGTGAAGGCTTCTGCTGGGGAAGTAACTTCGTGGTAGCTAGCTTTGGCAGCTTTTCTGGCTTTTAGTATCAATTGTTTGTTACATATATATATATATATATAAGAGAGAGAGAGAGAGAGAGAGAGAGACGTTGGGAAGCAGAAGTAGGAACAGTATGGTTGCGGTGGGGGGTAGGGGGAGAGATAAGTGAACAGAAATGACTGTTGAGATCCAGTTGGCATCTTTCAAAGTATAGATAAAAGTATAACTGCGCCCCTCAGTCAAAAGTCAAGTACACGATTCTTTCCGCTAAATCCTAATTTGTTATTTGGAATAAATATGTTTGGCCACTTGAATTTGGAGGAAGTAAATATCACTGCCCAATCAACTAACAGAATGGCCGCAATGACTTGGGAGAAGCTGCAAGGCCCAAAGGTATTTATTTATATGTCGACTACTTTTTGTAGCATAACTTTAGGTGGAGATGATAAGGTGGGAGTGAATTGGAAATTAAAAAATTAATTTTTTTTATTTAATTTAAACTCACACTTATCATTTAGATAAGATATAAATTAGTATATCTAATTTTTTTCTCCAGTTTAGATAGATTATATATTTTTGTGTGATTAATGGATAAGAGTGATATAATTTGTTTTCATTGACTATTATACTCATATCTTATCTAATTTATCACTATGTTTGGTTTATAAATTAGCCTCCAACTCATTTTAAATTTATTATTATTATATAAAAAATGACAAATTTCAATAAACTCCTTCGATGGTCTCAAATAAATTCATCCAACGACAACTAACATCTCTCTCAAAACCATTCATATTGAATTTTCTCCTCTCAAATCTATTACTTCTCACTTAAATTGCACTGTACTTTCAAGCACAGATTATCCCTAGTAAAAAATTATATATTCGCATCTAATTTTTTTAATGATTTATTCAAATATAAAAAAAAAATTAAATATATTGTAAACATAAGAAATACACATCATCAACCATTAGTTAACAATATAAAATGTTTAAAATTTTAACCAATCTTGACCTACCAACGGGCATTTGGTACAATGATATTCTTTATCTTGTGAAGGTTTTACCTTTTTTAGGTCAACAATTCAAGTCTCCTTTCCCCTCTCCCTTCTCCTCCCTCCCAAAACAAAATAATAATAATAATATAATAAAAAATAAAAAAAATCTCTTGACCTAGCAATGGGCATATTCGTAAATTAAATTACATATCATGTTTGGCAAAAAAAATATTCTAGTCCCCTCTTGGGTTTCATTTTATCCATGTAGGTGGATTAAAATTGACTTTTCAAATCGAGTCGAGATAAAATGCGAATAAAATTTCTTATATATTTTTTATTTCTAAACAAGAGAAATATGGGTCCCACATACTTTTTTTACCTATTCTACCATAGTTATCTATCTTTAGGTTTCTTTTAGATGACACTAATACTAATCGAGAATGAGTAATTCATTCCTAGTAAAGTGATAGCTGAGTTTTAAATATCGTAGTAATCTTTTATTCAATGTTTGGTATCATCAATAATCTAATATAGGAATGCATATCTATTTCATTAACATTATTAGTAATGAACTTTATTTTAGAAAAGAAGTTGATTTTAGGATAATAATTTGGCTTTAGCAACAAACTAAATTTTGTGAGGGATTTTGAATTTGACTTTTTTTTTTCCTTTTTTTGAATACCCTCTTAATTTGGGTATGAGATTACCACAATTGATGGTGGGTTTAAGATTCCCACTATCATTGAAATTTGATTTCAATACTAATCTAATTATCGATATAAATTAGTGACTCATTAATCATCCAAACTTAGTAATTTACAGAATTAAGAATGAGATTATCATTCTCAACTAAGATTATCACCATCCTAATAGAGCCTTGGTACCTTTTAAAAATTTTGTAAATTTGTCCAAAAAAATGATAATAATAAGATTGTATAACAGTAGCATTCACCAACCCAAATAGATTAAAAATACAATATAATATAAAAGAATGTAAAGTATTTATCGTGATCTACGTATCACATATTCAAATTTGTAAAAATGTTCTTTTCCACATATAAAGTAAGGATATTTATATATGACTTTCTTCAAATTTTGAAGTAACGAGAACTTCATGTATTGGATAATTGATTAATTGCATTCTTATTATATATTATAAATACTTACCCATGTATAATGAATATTTCAAAAAATATGGTGATTGATGAGTAATCTAGCACTAAAAAGACTATAACTGAACTAATTTTCAGAGTGAATCCTAATCCGACATGTATAAGCTGAGACAATGCTTACCCACTTGAGTCTGGTATGCCCTTGTTGAGACATGATAAGGCCTTTTTTCTTTTCTTATGGTTTGGTGCATTAAAATGTGACCCAACTACAAAAATTCTGTTACAAATGTAATTCATAGAATTCTTGTTCCAAAGTTCACAACCAAAAATGTGCATTTCTTGATTTTATAAGACTTGAGTACAACTAGTAAGGAATCAACTCATGGGGTACAACTAAGTCTATCAATTGTGTCAAGTAAAATGTTTACTAATTTGTATTTAAAGAATCGTGTGATATGGAATTTATGTTGTGCATAAATCATGTATAATCGATATTATATAAACGAATCGTATCGTATATTTATTTTGATTACCTTCACTCATATCTAATTTATTTATTAATTGTATCGTATCGGGTTTACTCGTTTATGAAACCGATGACTTGAAAAAGACTTAAATCTTTTAATTTTGAATCATGTTCATAAAATATTAATATATCGTATCATTTTTTAGCACCCCAACACACATTTTCCTCGGGTGAGAGCCGTACCAAAACATTAGCTATGGCTATGACTATTACTAATAGATTACAAGATCGGCCAATGGGAATTTGGAAAAAGAAAATGATCTTTCATCCCAAGTCCAAATCATGGTGACTCTCTTATTGTTCCATTCTTTACAGACGTAGCTCCAATTATTTTTTGGCAATCTCTCTCTCTCTCTCTCACACACACACACACACACATATATATATTTAATGCTAATTAACATGAACCAAATTGGATAATGAATTTTCGTAAATTATCAAGATTTATGAATAATTAGAATAGACTTTGGCATTTGGATAAGCTAGTTTTAAATTCAAGAATCTGATAATGATAACTATTGGCTAGCCATATCTCCTAAGTTATCAGATTGGTTGAATTTAAATCTAGCTTATCAATATCAACAAAGATATGGCCGGCTAGACGATAGTTAGCATTATCAGATTGTTTGAATGTAAATCTAGCTTATCAATATCAACCAACTTATTCCACTTGTTATCTATGCTTAATGGATTTGACTAGTAAACCAAATTTTAATGCTAAAATCAAAGTAAAATTATTTACATCTTAACATTTTCTAGGGAAATTTAGAGGTTGGTTTTCCTTTGTAGACTTATTTGCTGATAAGTTCATCAAAGAAACTTATTTAATATTAAGTTTATTTTTATCTTTATTGTCTAAAATACCTATAGTAATTATGTTTAATTAAAATAAATTTAAAAAATAATAACTCCTAATTTTTAGGAGTTTGACTGATATTAAAAAAAAAAATTCTCTCATACCTTACTATATCCACACACACATATAGTAAAATTTTAAAAAAAATAAGTAACATTCAAACATAAAAAATAGTATCATTTAAACATAAAAAAAATAGTAACATTTAAATACAAAAAAAATTAAATATTCAAAAAAAAACACAATTGAGTATTAATATTTGAAAAAATAATAGTAGTAGCATGTTCAACAAAAATAATAATATGCTCACAAAAACTGTAACATGTACAGTAACAAAAAACATTCAAAAACAAAAAAAAAATATTAACATTTAAAATAAAAAAAATTGACATTTAAAAAAAATTAAATGTTAAGGGATAATATTGGCATCAATTGTTCTTTAAATTTGAATTTCAAATTTATGTAAAAAAATTTGTTGGCACCTTCATTGATAATGAATTAAGAGATAATAATTCTCAAGTTAAAAAAGTAATTTAAAGTTACTTTCAAAGAGGGGTATTTTGGAGTTTTAAAAAAATAATAGACTTAAACACTTATTAGTAAGATTAAAAACGGATTTATACCCAAATAAATTTTCTTAACAGACTAAATTTATTATAATTCCGTTAAAAAGAACTCGGTCCAAATTTTTACTATTTTCTACCGACTTTTGTGGGGAAGAACTTAATAATGTTGAATTTATGGCCAACATTGATATTGACTCTGCAGTTGAATATGGCAGCCAGCCATTAATGAGTTACATTAATGGGTAAATATTGGGGCAAATCACATTTTATATCCTTACAGTATGCAGATAATTCATATTTGATACTTGAAGTTTCAATTATAACTATCACATCCTTCTTTGAGTTTCAGTTCAGTCTTTTGCCAAAATTCACCAATTTACTATAAATGAGTGATCTTCTGTGATCAACACATTACTTGGATAAAATGGTATATTAATCTGGTGAAAAATTTGTTTCGTGTAGGCAAGAAAATTTATTTTATTTCATTTCATTTAATTTTGAAAAAAAAAGGATAATTAACCCAAAAAATATATGTAGACTCAAAATTTGAGAGATATGGTGAGACAACGAAATAAATATCGATGTATTTGAGAAACATATTTTTTGTTGAACAACTATACCCTTATGGACAAGTCCTTTAACGTCTTTTCAATTAGAACCAATTAATTTATATAATAAAATAGAACGAAGTTTGAATCCAAAAGACAAAGAGAGGTCCAGATCGTTTTGAGACAAAACATAAACACATCCAACGAACAACGTAATCTTAACATAAAAGACGGTTCAAATTATTTCAAAAATTTTGATATAACGATCTATAATGAGTATTAAATTTTATTTTCCCGCCTAACAACATTTCTTGAATCATGTCTCTCTCTCTCACACTTTTGTCTCTCCCTCTCTCACTCTTATGCCTCTCCCACTCTCTCACGATCTCACACTTCTGTCTCTCCCTCTCTCATGCCTCTCTCTCTCACTTTTGCCTCTATCTTTCTCACGCCTCTCCCTCACTTCTGCCTCTCCCTCTCTCTCACGTCTCTCTCTCCCAATATATCACGCATCTATCACATGATCCAACCTTCCAAACTCAATATTCACC